CGATTGCGCTATTATTATAGCGAAATAGTAACTGGCCACGAAACGACACTCCAAGTACTCGTTTCTCTTGTGAATTTTCGGCATTTTCATCGAACTTCGTACTTGACTATGTATCGTAGATGTCATTCTGAATGTCTAAGTTTTCACAAATTCACGTTTCGAGTACGGTCGCAGAAATAGCGAACAACTGGTGGACCGATAATCATGATCGCGCGCGAAATATCTCCGTCGCGATCATAAAACTCAACAACTCTACGTGTTCGCCTGGCAGCGTAAGGGGTGGCTGAAAAAAAACACCGAAAGTCGGGGATGGGTGAGTGGCGGATGGAAACGTAACTACGCACAAAAACACACGCGCAGACACGTGGAACGACCTGCAACGACGTGGTCGTTTCTTCGCGCACATGCCCGTGGGCGCCATCAGGATCAGGAACTCTAGTTTCTGAGCGTCCCTCGCTCAGAAACCTTCTAGGATCCGCGCGCGTGTATTGCTACACGACGATGCACGTGTGCGTCAGCATTTGGTCCATACACTGATAATGCGCGCGTTGTCGTTTGGTGTCGGTGTGTACGGAATGTAATACGGTGGCTGGTACCGTCACATGGCTATTTAGAGGAGTTCCGGGACGGCCAAGGGGAGGACGAGAGTCGAGAGGGGTGTGCCGAGAGCGAGGGTGCAACGATGCGGCTGGAAGAGGTAAGGACCGGGGTAGAGGACATAAGAGACCGGCACGAAGAGACGCCCGAGGCGATGCACCCTCTTTCGTATCCTTCCGTCGAGCTTCTCTCCACCTCGCTTCCTCTTCTCCTTTTTCCTTCCTCCCCACCGGCTGCCAACTCCGTATCCACCCCGTGTGATGCGTCCCTCGTACCGATCCCCTACCGCTATCTCCCGCTTCTCTTTGTTCGCGCCGACGGTGATATTCTGCGGGAATCCGCAGATGTGGCTCGGTCGCATCCACGCGGCCCAGCTCAGTTTGCGAAAGGTTGCCTGGCGAGTTTGCGAAAAGCCAGCTTCATTGACACCGGCGCGGTGTGCGCGCAGGACGCGGCATTGTTACATCACGACGAGCTAATAAAGAAAAATAGAGGCTCCTGCGCGGATATTAGTTGCCCTCTGTGTTCGCGAGAAATCGTAGTACGACGAGAAAAGGACTAACCCCCTCTACCGATCTCCGACGGTGAGAGGCAAGAGGAAGGTAATGCCGTGACGGGGATTCTTTATTTACGTCACGCCCGTTTTCCCGATGTTAATACCGACTAAGTTACCTCGGGATTTCATTTGAGAATCCTGCGTCGCGATGAAGAGCGATTTCATCTGTCTACCCTTGATAATTACAAATGAGAACGCTCGCGTGTCCTGTATTTGTGGTGAAGCTGAGGTACAACGTTTAATCGTCCAACGTATGAAATATTACCGTTTAATTAATGATCTTGATTTTACAGCGAATACTCGATTATTCGGTAGTCTTTCTGACGCAAATTAGCTAACTATGAAGCTAATTGCTTATATTTTGTAGACTATATAGAGAAAGGGAGAAACGAATTAGCACAAATTAATGTGAACTACATTGAGAAGACCATTGCTCTTGATACCTTGTAGAACAAGCATTTTCTATAATAAGTTTCTAACGAAAAAAATGCAAAAAAACCGTTAACTTCCCGAATATCAACTCGCCAAGGTGTGAAAAGCGATGAAAATAAAGGGTAGTAAGAGCGACGCTATGATGAGCTTTTATTCGCTCCGTGAATTTTCAAGATTCTTACGGAGTTCGTGTACCTCCTTTCGTTTTTCATGATTGACTCTACAACATGTCGCCATATTTTATCTACAGCTGAAAAGAAGAATGATCTAGTTGAGACGAAGGTTCTTAATGAAAGAACATCCCATGGATACTTGATGAGTTTCAGAATGAAATGAATAATATGAAATATAATTTAAATATAATTATTTCTTATTATATAACAACAAGAAATATAATTTTAGCATATCTGAGTATAATTGAATAATGGCTGCATTCAGCAGATAAAATAGCTCAGTGAGTACTGAGTTCTTTAATCTAATTAGTTCTGGCTTATTTTTGCTTTAATTTCATTACTGGGTCTAAGTGTAGAAATCAATCGTAATAAAGAATCAGTGGGGCACTCATTGAGCTGCTTCGTCTGCTAACACAATCATTATTCAAATATACTCAGATATACTCAAATAGCATTTTATTGTTAAGTAATAAGAAATAATTAACTATCTATATTTCTCTTGTGTTATATTTTATATTATTTATTTCATTTTGAAAATCATCAAGTTCCCATGGTTCCTTTTATTTCATTGTTTTTCATTCATGGAAATTTTAATGCCATTAATCGCGCTCACTACGTATTAGAATTTCGGACCCATATTCCTATTGTACCAGCAGGGCTAAACACAGCTGGCCAAATCTCATTTCATGTTTACACTGGGCGCATTCAACGGAGACAACAGTTGAGTAGCAATTGAATACGATCGGTATATACTCTGAGATATTCAGCGAAGCGGGTTGCATTGCTGCTCAAGTGCTACTCAATTGTCGTCTCCGCTGAATGCGCCCATTGACTGCGATATTCATATAGAGCGACGTTGAAAACTATTGTGACGTACCTGTATCAATCGAGGGCTATTGTAAGAAGCAAATGTATGTCCGGATCGACGCGAAAGAATTACAGGCGGAAGTGCATCCGTGCGAAGAGTGAAAATACTTCACGGAAACGTAAATTCATTTATTCGACGCTGCAATTTGCATCGGATGCTTAATGCCGCGGTGACACGTACGTTAATATATCTCGCGCCTTTATCGCGTGATAATCCATATATACGTTTTCATGTTTACACGCATACGTTACACGCGATACTCGTATCCTTTTACGTCGTATCACATCTATTCATCTTATCACGTGCGACCCGGGAAGACAACTTATTTCTTCACACCCTTTATCTCACTCTGATTGTTACTGCTTTCCGTTTTCATCGGTCACGTATTCTTGCTGTATTCGCGTTTTCTGTACAGCACAGATCATTCCAACAATATTATAGCAACGTTGCAACCGTTCTAACAACATTTCAATAACATTGCAAATGTTATTGCAAACTTTTTTGTTATATGGATTAATTCACATGGTGAATAACGCCAGAACTACGAAAATTCATGAACACGGATTGTCGGTCTCATTTGGTAAGCTCGAGCTCGAGCCAGTTAGTGTTGCTCGGTTAAGCTGACGAAGTCTAAAATAATGAAAAACAATAAAAGCCAGTTGTCAGACATTAGTTTGCTTCTTTGGGGAAGCTGGGGATGGGAATAACTATTATTGTAGAAGAAGGCTGTTTGCTTCACACAATGACGAACCCTCCCATCATGCTTGGAATGCGGCTTCCGAAAATTTGCTTGGAATGCAAACTCCGTCTTATAAGATTTCGTCAGATTTTGTCCTCGTCTGCCGGAAAGTGTCGGTGACCGTTCGCTGAACGACTCGGATGAACGCGAATAAAGGGTCTCCACCCTAAGCCACTCGACATATTTTTATTGGACGCGGCGTAGGATCTTGGATCTATAAATATTATAGCATGATTCGATTCTACACAGACACGTGGAATACAAACAGCGCAAGATGGACAATCTAAATATTATTATGGCTAGTAAGGGTACTTTCCAATTGCTTAATACGTCTTAACACAAACGTATACAGGAATGCATAAGTGTAACATTGTGCACTCAATTGGAACAGAATATGTACAGTGTGCACGGTTTCGGATAGAATTAGATTAAACATAGCTTTTTCCTCCTATATTGAATGAAAAACAACAACCTGCCGGCCACCCAAACGGGCTTCCTCCGAATTTATTTATAGCTACCGTGATTATTAACATGTAATTATCACAAGTTTATATAGCGAACTAATAGCCCTCGGAGTAATATTGTGTGATGATTACGCAATTTGAACGCAAGTTCTATCGCCGTGTGCATGAAAATGTCTAAAGTAATTTTACAATTGGAAAGCATTCTAAGTTACGACGAAATTGAAATCGGGACACACATTAGAGCCGCGCGAGACGATGTTTTAACAGGAGAATGTCTAGTACGTTTTATCGACACGGCTGGTCTAATTTCAGAACGTGCCCGAGAGGTCAATGGGCTACTTATTCTCGGGGCCGATACAAGAATTACCAGCGTATCGATCCCTCCTGAATTTCTATCGTGCTGAAAACGATCCATCTCCCTTCGTGACGTAGCCGCGAGCACGTCCATCGGTATCGGGTTATAACTGACCAAAAGAAGGATTAGCGGGGAACGCTCTTCCGTATCAATATTACACACGTAGGGGCTGCTCCCCTATAATTGTACCAAGTCATTGTTTGGAAATGAGTGTAGCACGCATTAATTTGAACCGGGTGTGTTTTTTCTCATAATTTTGTGGGGGATAAGGCGGGATAAGCCGCAGTGGTCGAAGAAGAAAACCGATATAGCCGCTCGGTGCGCTTGTTTGCTTTGTACAAGCTATTTTAGCAGTTATTGGGAGACAATTGTCGAGCTTCATTAAAATGGAAAATAGCGATTTTCGAGCGTGAATTTCCAACATTTCGATGAAGTGTTTTGGATCGATATTGTTAGATGTCTTTCGATATCAAAATATCTTCGCTACAAATAACTCTTAAATGATTATGTTGTCTAACGACTCTGTTTCTTTTTTTGTTGCAGATTCGAAGATGAATTGGCCACTGGTGCTGACTTGTTTTTTGCTACCACAGTCGTGCATTCTCGGTGCTTCGCGTGGTAAGTTATTTTATCGAAAATTCTCTATCAATGACTAAATCGATTATCAGAAATTACATAGACACTCTGTGTGTAAGTGAGAAACTGTGATATCAGAATATCGTATATGATTTTAGGCACGCTTTCTAATTTAACAATATTCCTTAAAAATTATTACATGAATCCTTTATAAGTATGTTAACATTAATTTTTAATTATAAAATAAAATTTTTACACATAGCTCATTTTACACAGTGTCCATTTTAGACAATGCATATTTTAAATCAAATTTACAATTTGTGGCAGATATATATATATATATATATATATATAATTTTGTATTTTTAATACAGATATTTTTAATGTTGAATTTATTATATATAGGAAAATAATTTTCTTTTTCCATTTTGAACAAAAACGTGATATAAAATAATTAAATATTATAGTTAATTAATAGATTCATTTAAATTTAAAAATAACTTAGAGAATGTGAAATTTAAATTTATTTTTATATGTTTTATGAATTTATAAAAATCTAATTATAATTTTCAATAATTAAACAAAAGAATTGTAGCTCAATTTTTAAAATAGCATTTTAAAAAAGATAGAAAATCTCAAATAAAGTTAAAAGTAATTTTTAATTCTATAAATCTAAAAATTGGAAACTTTTTTAAATTTTATATGGTCAACTTAAAAAGACTATTTAGAATGGGCAACCTTAAAAGGGCTATTTAGAATGCTTAGAAAGAAGTATTGTCAGAGAAGTTTGACGAAGTTTAAAAGTAGAGTCTTTTGACTTTGAAATATCTTTTTAAAAATAACTTTGTGTTAATTTTTTTTATAGTTATCTGTGTTTTATTACATGTTACTACTAATTAGAAGTGGTCTTTTAATTTTGTTCAGCAGCTTTTGGACGTTCCGATACAGTAATGTATTGGAATGAAACAGAAGCAACACATTCATTAACATAAATGAAAAACATACATTTATTTATATACGATAAAACCGAATATATTGTATAAGAATGTTTACGAGTCACTTTACACGAATGCGACGAACAATACTATTACGGCTATTTGTTGCACGAGTGGACTACCGTTACTGCTTTCGCTGCTGTGCAACGAGCTGCAAAAGCCGGCCTCTAAAACCAGAAAAACCCTGAATTGGGTCATTCTTTTTTTTCTGTCACTGACGGCGAGCAGTAGTGGGGCCACAAGAGGCAGCCGGAAAATCCTTAATCCACCTCGGTCGCTCAGAATCTGGCGTGAACCTGTGCGAAAACAACGCCGAGGGGTGGATTATGATGATCGTGAAAACAACGTGCAAGGGTGCGTGTTCATGTTTCTCCGAATAGCCGGGTGGTTTCCCCGGATGTGTTGCACACCCGAGCGAGACTCATAACCGCGGTTCTTTTCTACCCAGTTCTCCCTCAACTGTGCTCGGATAGACAAATTAGTTCTCTTTCACCCTTACTCGAGCTGGGGCTAAGAGGCTTTTGTACAACGGTTGTACCAGTGGAGCTTATTTCTCCCGCTAAGCTTTTGCGCGGTTCGGTAACAGATCGTCTTATAATGACAATGAAGGCTCTCTGTTACGAATAGAAACACTCATACGTTATTTTCAAAATACGTGATCAGTTTACAAAGAGTTACATTACTTCTATCGACACGGTCGTTTTCAACGTGATGGATAGCGAAATGTGTTTCTTATCCATCACGCGAACGAAATTATTTTTCTCCTTTAATACGATCAAACTTGATTCTTTCCTTTTAAACTTGAACATAATTCTTTAATACGCAGGCACGGTACGCGGGTAGTTTCTTTGAAACGGCGCGTACAGCCGAATTCGTGTTGCGGTAAGCTCGCTGTCCTATTTGAAAGTTGTCCAGCAGCGTTCAACTTGTTTGGCCCTCTATCGAGGCAAATCTGCCCTCATCCAACGTACGAAGGAACGGACACAATCTCTCGAGTTCGCCGTAGCCGACAACCACGAACTTCGATTTCGAGTACACAAGAGACACTGGGTACGCGTCTCCCTAATGTCGATCCAGGTCAAAGTGTATTTTCTCGGTCGCGCTCTGACGATGGCAAACGAACCGCAGCGGTACGCGCGTCCGGAATTTGCCAAGGCGGACTTTCCCCCTTTTGATTTAATTGGCGGCTTTCTCACACCGGGGACCGTCTTTGACTTTCCTTTCAGCGACCAAGAAGTCCGAAACTCACCAATGGTCAGCGGCGCGAGACAATGTCGTAAAGACTCACGAAGTAACGAGCTACGGTAACGTTCTGTGCCGGCGAACTATCATTTCAAAGATGTTAAAGACACAAGAATGAGACACAAATGAAATCTACTAACTTGCTTCAAGCGTTTTATCAATGTACTTTTAATTCATAAATTGCTCAGCTTTCTAACTGAATGTAAATATTGGATTTAGGATATTTACACTAATTCATCTATTTCTGTCAGTTTTATCATTGATAGAAAAACATTAATAGTGCTGCGAGATTTTATTTTTATTCTATAACATGACAAAAGTATTATTTTTTACAGCAACGAATAACAATGTCAATTCTTTGTAAAAAAAATAACTCGTAGGCATCTGTAGATTTATTTATATTGTCCGAATTTTTTTATTTCGATTTTCCAGTCTATTTTATTTTCAACCTTGAAATTCACTTGAACGTAAAACGCCAATAAATACTCGCCATTTGTTATTCGCCGCATTAAATCACTTCTTTCGACTTTTTGAATTTGGTAACTAACTTAATTGGCGGCTTCGAGACGACCGCGGACCGTCTTTGTAGATTGAAGTGGCCACGGGACCACGACGCTTTAGAGAGTCGTGAACTAAGAAGCTCGAAACTTGTTAATGGCATGGGTGTTATGGGACAATGGCGTAAAGACCGTTGAGATTACGAGGAGACTGTAAGACTTTGTATTTGATGCAAACGGGACCAATTAAGTTGTTAAAGGAATAGTTTTTCTTCTTGAATCAAATGCCAGTAATATATTATTTAACAATTAAATTTTTGAATATACACAGCGATCTATGATCTCAAATTTCTAAAGCAATTTTGAAGTTTTCAAATTTGATTTTCGCTGGAACGTGATGCCTATCATTAATTTCTGACCTGGGAAATATCAGGATTTGCCCTAATCAAGCTGCAGGAGTGTAAATGGGTAACTGCACTGCTCAATGGTAGATTTACGACTATTATTGGGCTTTGCACATATTCAGTAAATGACAGTGAAATACAATATGGCGGATCGTTCTGCTCAGTAGAGATATAATGCTTCAATGTTGGCAAAGCCATGTTCACTGGTCGCTGGCTAGTGGAAACAGTAAATCTAAACGCTTACATGGATACCGTGTTACCATGTACGAGGACCACGTTTATACCAGCGAGTCGCTATTATTTCGAATATCAACGCGGCATTAAGCCGATGTAAACTGGAGGTAAATACGATCCGCACTCTCCGCAGTCAGCGGAATAAAATCATTTGGCTACAGGTGTCATTTCCGACAACTTGCTTACCATTATTCGGTTTTGCATCAAATTTTACATCATTTTGGGGTCATTGTGGTTTTGAGCACGAAAGGTTCTGTTGTAGTATCCTTTAAATAAATGTCAGTGCTATTTTCGACGTAGGTACAAATCTCTTCAGTATAGGTTCTATGTCATTTGCTTTTTGTCCTAATAAATCGAGCCGAAAAACTCTATGTCCGAACTCTAAATCTGAATTAGTGAAATCCAACTGAAAAAGAAAAGCAGTTTGAGTTGATACTCATATAATTAATGGTGCTTTCCATTAAGAGACACAATGTAACATTTTATCTTTGTTTAACATTGGCAAACAATGAAGATACAATGATATGTCATCTGTGTTTTTGCTGCTGGCACCCTATATCGATATTGACAAGTCAGTTCTAATATACGTTGAACTTATACACTAAAGCAAAGTTAGCTAGGTTAGGGATTCCCAAAGAGAAGAGATTCCATATTTTTTAGTTAAATTTCTCCCACACCATTATGAATTCACTGATTCGGATTTAGAGAGTACAAAATAATTTTGTAAAGTGTAGCAAAAAATAAATTTTTAAATATTTTAAATTTGATAGCATTGAAAATGGAATTTTTAATTTTCGTGCGACAACATCAATAATTTTGATTGCTACACAGATTGTGTGATTCGCACGCGTGACGATAACGCGACAAATTTAGTTTCTCTCTCTCTCTCTCTCTCTCTCTCTCTCTCTCTCTCTCTCTCTCTCGACTCGTCATTTTATTCATATCACAACAATCTTACTTTAAACTGCAACGCAAAAATTCGATGGATTTAGTTATAGTCTTGTAATTCCTTTGAACGCACGGAGAATATTTGCTTTGAAGTAATCTGCAGCGGAAAAGGGTACGCGCCCCCTGATATGAATAACCTTTTTCATCGGAATAGAAGAGAGTATAGGAGAGAGAGGGGGAGGAGAAGGGAGGGAGGGAGAGAGAGAGAGAGAGAGAGAGAGAGAGAGAGAGAGAGAGAGAGAGAGAGAGCGTGGAAAAGAGAGTTAATTTTACGACGAGAAAAATGCGCGTTTACTGGCTGGTTGCGAGAAAGGGACGGAGCGAGTGCCCGAAGCGAAGCTCTGAAATTCGTTTCTTGTCCCTGGCGAGCGGTTTTGTACCTTTGTAATAAAACTGCATTTTTTCCCCATTTCCGCGTACAACACGCGCGCGTCGAAATTAACGTTACGCGGAGATGGGCATTACGCGGAGTTTCCGGTTAATGGACCGTAACGCTTATATCTGGCTGCTCTTGGTAATTTATCGGCGACACGATAAACGCGATAAACGTTGCCCGGCCATCGACACTGACGAATCGGCCGACGTATACTTTCACAACTTTATGCCGTGTCACATGTTTATGTGAACCTCCTGAAAATTCGGTGATAGACGAAAATTATAGGAAAAAAGGATATTTAATCTCTCAACGCGAGTATGAAGTCGAATGTAAAATCGAGAATCAC